TCGTGATTGAATGATTTGAGGAGTGGTAAAGGGGGCGAGACCAGAGCTCGAGCCATGATAAGACCGAGAAAGGAGGAAGGAGAAGCGTGTGTGAGATGAGAAAAGAAAGATACACAGAGAAAAGAAAATATCCGAGCGGTCTCCCCTTGCGAAGGAAGAAATCCTGACCTTGCGCCTTGCAGTTCACCCAAGTACCTTAATCCTTGTACTATAAAAATGTCAGTATCACCTGGAGGTAATCTTTTTCCCCAAAAATTATTTGCAGGATTGGATCGTTATTGTTCATTTTCGCAACTTCTAGAAAAGGCAAAAGCGGAGGCACATCAGGTGTGATGGCCTGGGGAGGGAACGGTTTGGTCTAGAATTCTCCCATCCAAGAAGGTTATTTTTGGAGAAGAACAAAGCAAAATTAGTTGCTCCATATTTAGTTTGTTCTCAGAAGCATTCACATCTTCGGGTTAGAAGGCTCCGTTATATTTCCACTGTACTCCGTACACAGTTGGCTTTTTCCCCTCATTTCCCAGATTCCTTCGAGTGCTCGAGATACCTGGGCTTAACGAAGACGCCATCTTCTCACCCAGCCAACAGATACTAGCACTAGTCAATCTCCACCATCGGTGCTAGGATGGCTAGCGATGGATAAAAAAAGGTAACCGCAGCTAGTTAGCGTGCGTGTACTCCGTACTCCAGATGCCGTACATAGACAATCAGACGGCAGTTCGCCAAGATCGACCGACAGTAATTTTCTTTTTCCCCTTCTCGGTTGTTGTGTTTCCTTTCCTTTCTTTTTTGACCTAGTGGACTGTCACCGTTCTGTTGGACCAGGGGGAAGAGGGGCAGAGAGTCTGTGTCTCTCCAGTGGACTGATTTAAAGGCCACCTGCGACTCCCGGTCGATCCGGATAAGACGCACCCTCGACGTCGTCGTCAAATCCGCTATGTTTTTTTCAGCTCACACCACAGCACTCCGGACTGACGGTTCGCCTTTCATGACGAGCTGTGTATGCAAGTCTTGTGTGGACAGCCAGCGCCATTTTAGTTCAAACTACAGGCATCCCGTGTCAACTTGACGTCTCTTTCGTGTTCGTTTTATATTCGCTGTTTTTGCTGTAAGCCGCCAACAAAGACATCTTGCACCGTAGGATATCGTGGAGACAAAGACGAGGTGAGATTGCTGCCGTTGAGGCTGGTGAAGCCATGAAGTTGAAGGTTGAAAGTTGAAGGTTGAAGTTGAAGGTTGACGTTGAAGTTGACGTTGACGTTGGCGGCTGGAGGTGACCGATTACCCTTTTGGGCTCGGGCCGAGAAACCTTCCAGCGAGGCGGATTAAATAATCAAAACCCAACTCGCTACAAACAACAACAGACAAAAGGACAGCAGACGGCAGAAGATGCAAGATACTACATGCTACGGTGATCAGCCAGGAGCAGAGGCTAGGCGGCGGGCGATGAGTTACCGAGTCCTATAATCCCGACCAGCTATTATAATGGTATATGCTTGAGGTTGAAATGCGAGTTGACCCCTGGTGCATACATATGCACATACGAGCCCTTCTCCCCGCCCATCGTTAGCCTACAGCCAGGGTCCATTATTGTAACTAACATATCTCTTCGTTCGATGACTAACTAGTCATTACTGTTTGATGTGCCGAGCTCGCATCAGTGAAGGCTGTTCCCCTGTTGACACCTCCACTCGGCCACCTGGCCCGTCCTTGGTGGAACAACCATCCACAACCCCAGCGAAGATTTGGAATACTACTTAAATCGCTGGGATACTCGCAGAATGCATAACTATCCGGCTTCTACCTCAGATGTGTCATGTACCCGCCCCCATGCTGGTTGGCCTATCTATACCCAAGCAAGCAACCGGACCGAACAATCAATCATGTACCGCCCAACACCAAGCCCACCTCCAAGTCTGTGCTGCAAAGGACCAGTTCTTTGCTGATACTAGATAGCCACCTTGCACAATCTGGTCTAGTCTATTGAAATCGAAAAGATAGTGCATTGCAGAGATCCATAGCCGGTCATCTGGTTGGTTGGTCTTATTGGTGAATTCCAGTAGTTCCGGATCGATGGCATTGGCTGGATTGGCATGATTGCCGCAGCCCAGATGTGAACTTTATGGGGCTTTGCCTTCGTCGTACGTGCCTGTCAGCCCCAAGCGGACGGACGCGTGATGGTGGAGGCCGAGGGAAGTTTTGCAAGCAAGCCATCAGGAAAACAAAACAAAAACGCTCAAAAAGCAAACTAAGTGGTTATGAAGCTAAGATAGGCGCCTTGTTTTCTTTTTCCTTGTTCCTGGCTTAACTCTGCTCTTTGTCGCTTGTTTGGTCCGCAACCCTTCTAATCGGTGCCCTAGCCTACCAGAAGAATTGATAGGGCACGGCATCTGTGGACCAGGGTATCGGCTTTGGTTAGCCTACCCAAATTCATGAGCGAACGGGAGGTATCCGTGCCGGTGCCGTCTGGACGCCTGTTCTAGCCCATAGCGGACAGACCGGCTTTTTGTGGAAAACGAGAAGAGAATGATTGAGACAGGACTGAGATAAAGGATGGTTGAGTGAACTCAAATCCGATGTACAGTCGAGCTACATACTCGAAGTGAAAAGGAGAAGATAGGCGGAGTAGATTTGCGCTTCTTCAACTTGCAATACCCTGGCAGCATAATACATCCAAAGAGTTAACTCTCCTTCTGCCTACATGTCCTCGCGTACATGAGAGAGAAAGAGATGCCACCCTCCTTTAGCAACTGCCTTCTCCGCTTTCACACCCTTACCTACACGACAGGGTGGCCTTCCCGCTAAACCATGTGTGACATCCACTAGGACGCCATGGATAACCATATCACTGCGGCGTACATGTACGTATGATCGTACCTGCAACAGCACACGTATCCATGTACATGTACTGCGTCTACATTTTGAAGGAAATAACAATCGAGACCACGAGCAACGCCCGGCAGCTGTTACCACTTACATACAAAAATATGTACATCTGGCCAATCCATCTCCGCCTCCTTCTCCGTTTCACCCCCTCTTCCCTGCGTGCCGTCTCTGGGAAGACGTAGAGGACATGATACACAGGATAGAAGTGATATTTCACGACACCCTTCATGTCCCAAACACTACATCTTGCTACTGGACCCCCCCCCCCCCCCCCTAGAGAGTTTTCTTGACTGTAGGCGTATTTGCAATTAAACAGAGATTCTTAGTACGTTGTCTTCGCTCGCTACTCTCCCTTAGCAAAAAAGAGGGTGACCCCGTAACAAGCCAGGACGTGAGACGAAGCGCCCCCGCCACTGGC